CATCTTGTACAGCAATTAACCACTAAGTAGAATATATGCTGTGTATTATTTTTTGAAACTGTACTTACAATTTGATTTGAAACTGCCTTATTGCTATCTGTTTATCAATAAAACTTTGAAAAAAAGAGCTATGTAAGCATAGGGCAAGTGTCAATAAATAAATAGAAGGAAAATGTCCAAGTTGCTTACTCTGCTGTCCCTGCTCCCAAATACGGGGTAACTTATGGTCTATAATCCCAGCTGGTTAATGCAGATCCCTGGATTTGCACATAAGAAAAGACTCTATCACCAAGTTAAAAAGAATAAAACTAAGTTTACTAAGCTGGTGATAAGTAACACATACATGATTACACAGAAGAAAAAAAAACAGAGAAAAATTACATCAACAGATCAGCAGAGTTTCCACTTGTGAAATTCCAATTCCTGTATTTTGTAGCCCCTTTATGTGACTTTCAGAGTTCTGATTGGGAAGCGTCCAGGTAGAGAGACCTTTGATGAATGCGATTCCAAAGAGCTCCCACCAGTGAGCCCCTTAAATACCAGCAGAGATAAAAGTGGCAGTGACACAACTTTATGCATGACCAGAATCAGGGTGTCTGTAGCCCCCAAGAACCTGCCAAATATCCGATGAAGCAAACATTTTCATCTTCTACACATGTAAGAAAAAATATCTTGAGGTATGGTCTGGTGAACAATGAGTTTCTGCTCATATCAAGATGTCAGCCAAGCATCCTCATGTGTAATCTTTAGAACAAGGCAGTGGTACTGTGTTATGACCAAGGAACAGCTTTCTGTATTAAATTTTAATTCTCCATATGGGTAGCAGCCACAGGAACACTGAGGGTCAGCTTTTCCAAAAAGATTCAGTCAATCATTGTTCCCCTGTCATCTCCTTTTCTTACAAAAGCACACATCATTTACTGAAATTCTCTGACACTTTGGAAAATTCATTAATTATGTTTTTAAATAAGTGTTTGTAATTGAGTGCATCAATGACAACTTATATTTTAGTAAATGGCCTGCTAAGGTAGTGTCTGAACAGAGAAAAGAGACACACATCCAACTCAGACAGAACTGCATGGGTAGGGAAGTCTCACAGACGATTCACACCTTTTCTAGGCCAGGTTTGCAATTCTAGGAGTCCTCGGGCATCATAAGGTTCATTTGAAATAGAAACTGAGTGTTTTACAGGAAAAAGTTATTTCAAGCAGAATGATTAATATCAGAAGACAGTTTGTAAGAACGCAAGGAACGTTATGCATAGATAGAGAAACACCAGCAAATCCTTGATAATCTAAGTGGATTTTTGGTAACAGCTACTTAGCATTCAGTTAAATCCAAGGGTTCAATAGAGATGAAGAGCATTACATAATGCCATGCAGTGGTATCAAGGTAGGAGGAAGAGCCTGGGCCACGGTGGATAGTGGGGTCCCGCTCAGGTTCCATGAGCAATAAAAAGAAGCTAAGAACACAAACAGAAAGAATATTTTCTTCCCACGTTCAGTATTAAAAAGTGGACCAGGAATACTTATAAACAGGCCTCTTGTACACATGTGAGTGGGCAGCACAGGTGGCACTACAGAGAATATTTATGCAGCTACCTGTAGCCATTATCCATATGCATAGCCATTATTATTCCAAGATCCACAAGAAAACAAATAAGTGAAGAAGATACTTACAGATTGAAATACAAGTCTGTAATAGGCTTTATATCAAGGACAGCAGTATAGTAGATATAGTAATAAAGAGGCAAGAAACACCCAATCACCACATCTCCATCCCTGTAAACACTGGTGCTCCTGTGGTGAAGGCAGGCTTCATCTTCAAAAGTGCACACTAAGGTAGGAAGCTGCAGGAGAAGGAAGACAACAATGAAGGGCAACATCTTAGATGTGTATTCAAAGCTTACGGCTGAGTGAAGAGGAAACTTGCAAATTGTGTTTGATAAATCAATGCCTTATATGTGTGATTTGACCTAACAGTTTCTGCCTCAGGTGGACCTTCTTATGCTCTGTCTCCTGTCACCAGTGCCTGCCCCATGTCCCTGGAGAAGTTTGCTACCATTACCCTCTGGCCTGTACATTTGAGATCTTGTATCCAAGAGAAAAACAGAAGGAAGAAATTGTGACTGAGTCACATTTCCTCAGAGGGAGGAAAGATAATGCAGTTCCACTGTTAGCAACATCCCAGGGGCCAGCTCTGCTTGGGTAGATTTGTTCCCAAGTCTTTGTCAATAAGCCGCTGGCATAGACGACATTAGCAAAGTTGCTAATGGATTGCACTAGAGCATTTAATGTTAAGATTCTGTTAAAGTAGTCTTCAAAGCCTCAATCTCGGTCAAGAAATACTGGGCATTATTCCTTCCAAAGTGGGAGATTAAGAGCTACCTTTTGACAAGTGCATGATGAAGATTTGCAGCCACAGGACATTCCTTGTATATCTGTATTCTCTATGTACCAGTTCCATGCTCTGAATCTCATAGCCACACCTTATCTCCAACGTCTAGGGTACAAATTGCATTATATCCAGGAAATCCAAATGAGTGACCGAAGATCTGTGCAGAAATAAAATGCACTTTTGCTCTGCGCGATTTAGCATACTTTCCCCACTTCTTGGTCCTTTCAACTATCTTCGTTTGTTTTAACATATTGTCAGAAACCATTTTCATTCCTACATCCTTTCATTCCACCATGATTTAGGCTTTTATGAGAACAGGAATCTGTGTGACACATTTCTTTTTCCCTTACATTGAAGCAAAGGAGCAAGGATGAATATGGCTCCTATATTTCCCATCACTGAAATTTTTGAGAAGTAGGGAAGTGCCAGAAACATTTATAGCCCCAAGACTCAGTGAAATTTGCAGTGTAGATAGATTATTCTAAGTAGCAGTGTATTAATTGAATGCATGCCATCTTGGATTTGTCAAAATCTAAATAACCAGCACAAAGGATGATCTTCAATGTAAAATTTGACTTTATTATATAGGTCTAAGCATAGGCTTATAAATTGATATGTTACTAATTCTACAAGGAATTTGAAGTTAGAATATCCATGGTTGCTGGAAAATAGCATTTCCATGTTAGGTCTAAGGCGTTTGACATTAAGATAGATAGTGATGTTAAGCTCAACTACCTCTAGTACAGGGTAATAATATCATTAAACTTTTTGGAGCCCCAGAAGAGTGTGATTGATGAGTTATAGTGTGCTAATGTAGAGTCACCAAGAAAGAAAAATTTCTTCCACACTTTCACAGGAAGCAAATTGTTTAAGCAATGTCTGTGACTCATACAGATGGCTGACACTCACAAAAGATCTACAAGGTGCTATACATGGTTCCAGCCTAAATCCAGAAGGGATTTGACTGACCTTGTCAAATACAGAAATTACATTTTGTTACGTAGGTCTTTCTTTAACTTGGTCTTAACCATCCAGCAGAAAAGTATAACCATGAAATATAAAAAGTTATGTCATATTAATATGTTGAGCTGCAAAAGGCTCAAGTCAGCAACTGCTGACCATTGCCAGATATGCTGATAACCCATTACTATCCTGGACTATTGGACTATATTGGGTTCTTTGGCTGAATTCAAGTACCTGAAATCTTTAGACTGATTTCAAGTACAAAAACATCCTATAAAATCCTCTCCAAATACAGCTTCTTTAACTGAAGTGGAACATGCATGTCTGAAAAAACAAAGTGAAAAATGGGACTATGTTGGGAGCCAAGCTAGGAAATTAATCAAATATGTGAAGGTGGGACTTAGCCCAGTGCCTAAAGCCAGCAAGCTACCTCACTTTTTTAATGAACATCCTGTCTGGTTAAGGTTTGCAATCAGTTACTGAGCAATGAAGTGTTATAAGTACTAACTTCACAAAGTGTAAATAAAGGATAGTTTTGTTATAAAAAAAAGAGGGTGGAAGAAAAAATATGTATGTATGAGAGTCAGGATAGAAGTACAGCTACTTTCTCGTAGTACACCAAGAAGCAAAGTTTGTACATATGTGTCTGTGTGTGTGTGTGTGTGTGTGTGTGTGTGTGTGTGTAACCAGGGATTGAACTCAGGCCCTTGTGCTTACCAGGGAAGCCATTATTCCACTAAGCCATATCCCCGGCCCCATGTACTAATATTGTTTAGAAAATATATCATGTCTTCATCTTGTCCTCAGTATAACTACAATGAAGAAAACAATATTCAATATATTATTATTGTATATGTCCTACTAACCTGTTTTGAAACTATTTCATTGCTATTCATTTTTCCTCTTTAAAATGAATAAAAATTCTAATAAAAATAAATTGACGTGTTATGTATAGGTGATCTGTTAAAGATGAAAAGAAATGTTGACTTTTAAAAGGATAAGCTTTAAATATTAAGTGCGAATAGTTTTAGAAAAGATTTATTTCCCAATTTTGAAGATGTTGGTCCAGTGTCCTCTCTAGCATTTGAAACTCAGCTAGCCAAAATAAAGTTGAGGCATAAGTGCAAAATCTTCAAGGAGTTTGAAAATATTCCATGATACAATAAATTTATAATAATTTTATAATAACTGTAATGTTTCATACATTGTGACAATTTGAGTATTTATTTATTTATTTATTTATTTATTTATTTATTTATTTTGGCGGAACCAGGGATTCAACTCATGCCCTTGTACTTGCCAGGGAAGTACTTAATCCATTGAGCCATCTCCCCGGCCCAATTTGAGAATTTAGAAGCTTAATTAGGTAACTCAGCAATTCTATATCCTGAGTTGTAAAGAACATGCCCTAGCATATTTATTTAGTGTCAAAGATGTGATGCTTGATTCATTGTGTCAACTTGAAAAGTTTAGTTTAGCTAAGAGACTCAGGAAGCATCCAGGATCCTCATTTTGTAAACTTCCTGAGCCTGTGCAAGAGCAGTGCATGGAAAGGGTATGAACACTACACCTCTCCTGGGTGGAGGTGTGCACTTACAACCCAACGGAGGGAATGAGGCATAATTTCCCTTTTGTTCTTCCTGTTTTTAATTAGTTTTTGACCTCTATTATTAGCTGGCTTTGGAGCTAGATGATTATGGGTGAAAACCTCTATAAAACTGTGAGACAAATAAAGCTGTCCTCCTTTAACTTTGGGTGTTGAGTATTTTTGGTCTTATGAATGAGAGAAAAGTAACTAATAATTATATAACATGAGATCAATATACTGTTCTGTAAAAGGCTCAATTCAACAACTTCTGACAATGCCGGTTCTGCTCATAACTCGCTCCTATTATGGACTATTGAAGTATATTTGTTTATTTTGCTGAACTCAAGCACCTACAATATTTGAATGGCAATGGAACAGCCATCTCTGACAAAACAAACAAAAAAGG